TCCCATAAGGCCACAAAGAATCTTTCATATTTGCTACAAAATACTAAAATAACCTAAAAGTGGGACTGTTTGTTGCTCGCTAAGCGATCTAACGGTTTCAAGTTATTCTAAACATCGCCCCGAGTCCCCCCGGACCGGCCATCAGCAATGTGAACGCGTGGCGACATCGGAGGCGACCAAAAAGTCGCGTTCTATTTACTGATTTGGGCCAAAAATTGTCCAAATTTGTATGTATCTCAAAAACCGCTTGACTTACGGCAAAACGGACGAAATTTTCGCCCAAAGGGCCACGAAATGATGTCTTTACGAGGGGAATGTCATTTATGTCCGAATTTAACCAACTCTGCTTTAAAGGGTGCTATAGACGAGTGTCGCATTTCGGAATCAGAATGTGGCGTGAAAGTTTACTTTTCCAACGTAAAGGGGCCATTTTGTGGCCCTTTGCGCGAAAATTTCGTCCGTTTTGCCGTAAGTCAAGCGATTTTTGAGATACATACAAATTTAGACAATTTTAGGCCCAAATTAGTTAACAAAACGCGTCTTTTTGGTCGCCTCCGTTGTCTCCACGCGTTCACATTGCTGACGGCGGGTCCGGGGAGACTCGGGGCGATGTTCAGAATATCTTGAAATCGTTAGATCGCTTAGCGAGCAACAAACAGTCCCACTTTTAGGTAATTTTAGTATTTTGTAGCAAATATGAAAGATTCTTTGTGGCCTTATGGGAGTGACTGGGAGGCCTCTGCTAACTTGCGGACGGGTCAGGGTGGTGTGGGGGGTTGCCTGGAGAGCTCAGGTGGCCGAGCGAACGCACCTGGAAGCTCGATCCTCGACATAGCGGCGCTAAATGGTCCAAATTTGGCAAAATTTGGCTAAAAACGTGTTTTTCCGCTTGCGCGACCCCTAAATTCATCTTTAAAAATCTGAAAAAAAATTACAGCAGTCTGAATGCCACAAGACAACTATTTATGGGATGGCCCGTCAATATTTTGATACTTTTGCTATATGGGACAGTCTAGCGGGTACCCCAAGGAAAATTTCGCTCGCTCGTGGTTTTTATTGAGTTATACATCACTTATGACCTCAAATTTTTTTCGCTCGCTTCGCTCGCAGCCTTACAGCTCCTCTTTGCAAAATTACGGAAATCTTTTCGCACTCGTTTGAAGCATTTCATCCGTAACTTGAGCGTTTAAATTTGCCACCCAAAGAAGCACAAGTACAAAAATTTTCACTCGCTTCGATCGCAAATCCCTCTCCAACTGCTCTGTAAATTCTAGTATACACGACAGTACTTGAACTTTAAAAATAAATTTCAAAAGAGACATTTTACTGTGCGCCCCAAAATATTTTCAGACCTTTAATCATAAAATTATGCAAATAAGTTAATGCACGATTACCGCGCCTGCTCACTCTGTACTCACCGATGTCGTCATCGTATCACGTTATTATGCTGTGTCAATCTAAACAATCTCGTCTGCAAGCTACGCAGCGTCTGCGATGCGCACTCTCACCCGGACAGCTACTGTGTGGCCAGGGAAGAGATGGCCCTGCCACCAGGCTCCAATAACAGAGTTACATATCCCCTGTGTCCAAACTTGCTAGACGTTGTGGCAGGCTGCGTGTACCATTTTTTTTGTTAACCCACTATTCATCTTTCATCTCAGGAGATACAACGACTGAACTCTTTCATAGAAGACGAAACTGGGATGTTCGCGAAGGACAGTGAAAACAATCTGTAACTGTCTACATTTATCCATTTATTTTTCATTGTAAAAAAAGGAGAGAACATGACACTTTCAGACTTCTTTCAAAAGTTCAACATTTTGTACAGGAAACACAAAAAACGGGCAACTAACATTGTAAGAATAACAGTTCTTTTTTTTTATTTCTTTAAAAATGCTAAACATTGCTAAACAATGACGTGACCTTGAGATGAATGTCCCTACAGTTCCCGGTACTGGCTCCTTTTTACGAGTCGACTATGCCAGTGCGCTTCAACTGCCACAGCAGAACACATCGGTCCATCGGATGATTTAGGCGTCGCAGAAGAGTGACGGCCGCCGAACGAAACTCTTCGCTCGCGCAGTAACGCACTTGCCACAGCCGGTCACTCGTAACGCACTTGCCTTCACGATGTCCGCCCACACCTCTGCAGTGCCTGCAGTCTAGCGTGCGCACACGGTCCATATTCGGGACGAATACGCGTGCACTCACGCGCACACGAAGAGCAGCACCGGTGACCACACGTCAGCCCGCACGAAACTGAAACGAAACGAGAATAGATTAAGAGTGAGACCGTTGGGGCCCCAACGCGAGTGAATGTCAGATCCACCCATGGTTTCGACGTGGACTCGACGTTCACCCATTAGTGTTCGCACCATGTCTGGTACGGTGGCGACAAAAAAAATGAGGCATAAGGGGGGGGGGGCGAAGGGTCGAGGTGACGAACGGGGACATCCGTCCCTAAGTGGCTGCCTATCCATGCCCTAACAGGAGCTCACGATGTCCGATGACGACGTTAAGATCGACAAAATATCGCTTCGGTCATTCGCTTCTCAGACCTAGCCTTCATAACAGCAACACACACGGGTCTTTGTACCAAGAAATCGTTCGGTCGCAAACGATTCATGGGTTGTGACCGAGAGGGGAGAATTGCTGTTTCATTGACGAAGCATCGGTGCAGCACGCACGCTCCGCCCATCGACATATCGCACACGACACTTTTAACCTCACCTAGATGAACGTTCGGGCCACACGTAGCGACAGTGATGGAGCACGCGCTGACAGAAGACGATAGGATAGTAATTACCGAGGTCACCGTCACCGAGCCACTTAAATAGATATGTTTATGGAAGGATCTAATGTTGTGTGCGAGCCGGTACAACCTCTAAGCCATAAGCGTCACAGTGACACGATCGACAGACAGAAGATGAGGGAGAAAAATTTTTCAACGGAAGACGACGATCAAGAGTATGGGAAATGTAGGCTCCGGTAGACCTTCACAGACACGTCGTCTGCTCATGAGCTAACCTAACCAAACGTCACTTTTTTTTTCAAGATTGGCGAATCGGAGTGTCTATTATGATCACAACGATTGAAAAATAACGGTGAATGAAGATGATGTATGACTGCACTCGATTGCACTTCACGGAATACGACAGAGCAAGAGAGACTGCATTACCGTGCAAAGCCGACAGCAGAAGAGCGTCGGGGCGCTGGCCGATGAGAGGCGAGCGAGAGGGTGGGGAAACGGGACCGCACAAAGAGTGGGGTTATTGGACGACTTAAAACTCCGATTCGCGCCAACGACTGTAACCTTCGACAGGTTGTCTCAGCCGTACACAGACGGGTAGATCGTGTAAACAACCCTTGGGCCCGGCGGTACTCACTTGAATATCACAGCACGTGATGAGGAGGACAGCTTTCCTGACCTCTTCTACTTCTAGTCCTGGGCCATCTGTTCCAGCACCATGTCCAAGAGAAACCGGGCCAGGGGCAGGACGCTCACCCTCAGCAGGGGACGGTCTCTAGAGACAGAAGGGGGAGAGAGAAGATAGAGATACATGTTGACTAGAAATGAGCGAGTGGGCGCCGTGGCAAAAGAAAAGGATGCACCCACCCGTGTGCTTCCACGAGAGTACCGAATGAGGTGACGTGACGAACGGAAGCATCGACATAGTCCGGGTTGAACCGGACCCGCAACCTCACCAGGTGCTCAAGAACAAGCCCCTACATGAAGGAGGGAGAGAGAGACACGGAGATAAAGCGATGTGGCCTGTCACCGGAAAATATAAGATGAAATAAAAGACGTTACGAGCGAGGCGGCAAACTCACCCTAGGCCATGCACCCGTCAGAGCGCCTTTTCCACCATCCGCAACGACGTCCAGCACCTGCAGGACCTTAGCCGACTGGAACGAACGAACGGACGTCGATGATGCAGTCCCTCAGCGCCACACGAACTGTCCTTAGGTCGGTGGCGAAAAGCCTCACCAGGCCATCCAGCCTGTCGTAGGAGCAGACGCTCAGACGAAGGAGGAGGCGCGACTCGCCCTCCACCCTCACCGTGCGGATGTACACCCTGGTGCGGAAGGCGGGCCTGACCAGGCCCCGTTGTGGTCCGATCGCAAGCAGCGAGGCCACCGGAGCGGCATACCGCCGCAACTTAAGGAAGAGCCGGTGGACACCGAAATCCGTGAGAGCGCACTGAATATCGCACCCAACCTCACAGGTCCGCCACCACGTCGCACACCTCCCTGCCATCTCCCTGTACGCAGGTAAGGCCTCGCAGAGGTGCAGCTTGTCGACCAAGCCGAGGCACTTGGACAGCTCTCCCATGAACAGTGCTGGCAGCTGGTTCCAGTCTGGTTGCTGCAACACACGAGATCAATAAAGACCTGCTCGCCCCGAAACGACCATTCACGCAGGAGACAGAGAGAGAGAGAGAGAGGGGGGGGGGCATGTCAATTCATTACCATACTCGAACGTCTTTTCTTTTGCACTGAATTGATGAAATTGTTTGTCAATCGATATCAATTCATTATGCATTGTCTTTAATTTCATTGAATGTGTCAGGACTAGCTATATGTACGCCAGACCACGTCTCGCGTAACATTCTTCGCAATGTCTCACGAAACACTGTTACACTGCGACGCGCCTGGCGCACTTGTAGCAAGGCCTGCGGCGCTGACACCCGAGACGAGTTAAGGTAAGGCTTGGGTGAAACTGGAAAAGTCAGGCAAAAAACAGTGTTTTTTTAGTTTTAAATCTTCATGCGAATGAAATCAAGAAAAAGCTCTCTGTATTATTCTAAGTTAGTTTGTCGCGGTTCTTTTAACATATAATAAGTCTATAGTTGGACATAACACTGTGCGCAAGAGCTATTTTGAAATTTAATGAAATATTCATAACTTCAAAATAGCTCTTGCGCACAGTGTTATGTTCAACTATAGACTTATTATATGTTAAAAGAACCGCGACAAACTAACTTAGAATAATATAGAGAGCTTTTTCTGGATTTAACTCGCATGAAGATTTAAAATTGAAAAAACACTGTTTTTTGCCCGACTTTTCCAGTTTCACCCAAGCCTTACCTTAAAAGCCAACACACGCGACTTCCGTAGGTTGTTGTCCAGGTGGCGCTGGAAGTTGAGCCTCTTGTCCAGAGTGACTCCCAGGAACTTGGCCGCCGGTTTCCAGTCAAGCGGGGCCCCCTCGATGCGTAGCCTGTGTTCTGCCGCCTCTGCTGTCCTGCGCCTAGAGAAGACAATGGGTTCAGTCTTTCCTGCATTAATTTTCAGGCGCCATTTCTTGAAGTACGCAAGTAGGTCATCGAGTGCAGTTTGGAGGTAGTTGGTGAGTACTTCAAGGCTCTCATGGCGGAGGTACACGGCCGTGTCGTCTGCATATAGGGCGAGGCGCCCTCGGAGGGGGCGGGGCACGTCGTTGACGTACACGATGTAGAGTACGGGGCGCAAGATGCTGCCCTGCAGGGTGCCCTGGGTCACTGCCCTCTCCGAGGAGCGCTCTCCTTCCAGAGACACGTAGAAAGTCCTGCTGGTCAGGTACGAGCGGAGGAGCTTGATCATCGGCCGGGCGAAGTTCATGAGCGCCATCTTGTAGAGGAGACCGGTGGTCCAGACTGTGTCGAAGGCCGCTGATGCGTCAAGCAGTACGGCGGCCGTGTGCATGTTGAGGTTAAACCCTTCCGTAATATATTCTGTTAGGTGGGCAATTTGGTCGGTCGTGGAGAGCCGCGCGGAAGCCAAGCTGCTCCAGTGGTAAGAGGGAGTGCTCGTTCAAGTGTCTGACCACTCTTATGTTTATGATGGTTTCGAGGATCTTGCTGATTTCGCTGAGGAGTGATATGGGTCGATAATTTTGGGCAAGGGAGTGGTCTTTGTTAGGTTTAGGGAGGGGCAGGACCTAGGCCTTTTTCCACTGTTTTGGATAATAGGTGAGTAGGCAGGCGTTAATGATCATGGTGAGGAACACCACCCCTTTCCGCGGTAGGTGCTGCAGGACGATGTTTTGGATTGTGTCCTCGCCGGGCGCCTTGCGCGGGGGGTGTTTCTTGATTATGTCGAGAATTTCCTTTGGAGTGGCGAGGGCAGGTGGGGGTTGCGCCACCTCACTTGTCATGTAGCGGTCCAGGTCCTGAGTCACTTAATCTGTGTGGTGTTGTTCAGCCATGTGGTCGTTAGTCGTGTGGACGCTCTCGAAATTGCGGCTGATGGCCTCCGCTTTGTCCCGCGCTAGGACGAGCGTGCCTGTAGGGGTGGGCAGGGGAGCAACCCCGCTGAACTCTTACCCCCCTCTCCGCCGTCCGGCCGCGCGCACATTGCGCCGGCGGGAGTGGCAGGCTGGGCGCCTGCTGCCCTGAGCGCCTCGCCCGGCCCTCCCTGGCGTTACTGGAAGCCGTGCGTAAACGCTTGCTGCACGCTTCTATGAGCCGTTCCTAAACAGCTGCGTACGGCTCTCGTACGCCTCCTGCAAGCGTACGACAGCCGTATTAGTAACGCTTTAAGCGTTTGTAGTACGGCTCTTGCAGCCGCGATCAAGCGTACGCTAGCTGCTTTGAAACGCCTGTTCCGGGCGGGCGCGGAGCGGTTTACACAGCCGTACTCAGGCGTTTCGGAACGCTTGTGTCAGCCGTGCGCAGGCGCTTTGGAGACATATGTACTAGCCGTGCTCAGGTGCTTGAAACAGACGTACGCAGGCGTTTAGAAATGCTTAAAAAAATATTGAATTGCATTATTCGGAGTTTTGTTTCTACGTAGTTGGGACCGTGCTACCTTTGGCTGCCTGCGGCTGCCTTAGGCCCTTTTACGGTGCGTCACAACATTGTAGGCTGTCATCGTGGCTGTTTGGGTTACTACTGGCCGCGAGATACGCATGTTGTTGGCAGTGCCGGGACTAGAACCCCGGCCATGCCAACTCAGCGCTCACGCTTCGTTCGTAACTTACTGGGCCACGGAGCCCGATAGTACGCGGACGAGCCCGGACAGAGCAGTACACTCGAGCCTCCGTCTCCCCCGCCCGATGTGCCTCGCCGCTGCTCCCTCACCCCTCTGCGCCCCGTCCCCGTCCCTCTCCTTAGGGCGAGCGGACGAGCAGGCATGCGGACGGCGGAAGGTAGATCCAGGTTACAGCCGTTTTCAAACGCTTGTCTCAGCTTGCCGCACG